TCTGATGAAGAGTATCAGGAATATCTTAGGTTGAAATCCAATAACTTAGCACAATCATCAAGTTCCAATCCATCAATAGTTTGCATTTCACAATCTGTGAAAAATAAAAATCCATGATAATTGATTCAGGTGCTTCTGACCACATTTCTGGTAATATATCATTGTTCTCATCTCTTTTCTTTCCCAAGAATCCTCATTCCATTACCTTAGCTAATGATTCTAAAGCTCATTTCAAAAGAATGGGTCAAGTTTCTCTTTCACCTTTTTTAAATTTAAAATCTGTTTTATTTGTCCCTTCTTGTCCTTTTAATCTTATTTCATTAAGTCAATTAACCAAGTCTTTAATTGTTCAATAACCTTTAATGCCAATTCTTTTGTTATACAGGAACATGGTATGGGGCAACTGATTGGAGAAGAACATGAATTTAGAGATTATACTATTTTGGAGCTAGGCCACCCGTGTCTTGTTTTGCATCTCAAAACCCCAAACTGGTATATGATTGTTTGTGTCATCCCAGCCTATCAAAATTAAAAAAATTGGTTCCTGAACTTAGTAGTCTCCAAATGCTGGAATGTGAGTCATGTCAATTAGGCAAACATGTTAGATAATCTTTTCTATTATTCATTATGATATTTGGAGGCCCAACTATGTCTCATCTTTTGGTTTTAGATATTTTGTTACTTTCATTGATGAATATAATGTACATCGATTTATCTTATGAAAAATCGTTCATAATTGTTAACTATCTTTTTGTCCTTTTTGAATGAAATCAAAAATAAATTTGGTCAAGTAATTAAAATTTAAAAAAATGACAATGCCAAAGAGTATTTCTCCTCTTATTTCTTTGTTGTTCTAAATTCGCATGACATTCTACACCAGTCCCCATGTCCTCATACTCCTAAACAAAATGGTATTGCTGAAAGAAAAAATAGACACTTGATTGATTGAGATTGTCCGTACCTTATTACTCGGTGTTAATCTATCGGGCCATCATTGGGGTGATGTTGTTCTAATTGCTTTCTTATTAATAGAATGTCATCCTCTTCTCTCAATAATATGATTCCTTATTTCATTCTCTTTCCCAAAGAACCTCTCTTTCATATCTCTCCTCATGTGTTTGGTTGTGTATGTTTTGTTCATAATCTATACTCAGGAATAGATAAACTTTTTGTCTGAGTTATCAAATGTGTCTTTCTTGGCTATTCTCGCCTTAATAAAGGATATTGGTGTTACTTTCCTAAAATAAAGAAATAATACATGTTTACCAGTGCCACCTTCTTTGAACAGACTCCTTTCTTCCCTTCGTCTGTTTAAGATGTTACTTCCATCTAGAATATTCTACCTATTTCATTAGTTGAGTCAATTGTCCCTCGTGCCTCGGATGATCTTGGTCCTATCATCCATTCTCCTGAACCGACACCACCTCCACTTCTTACCACCGTCAAAACCAAACTACTTGTGCAACGCTCTAAGGTGAGACCTCTTCTTCCGATCCTTCTCTCTCATCTCCTCATATCGCGGTTCATCAACCTAATGATTCTGTACCTATTGTCATAAGAAAAAGGTACTTGCTCTACTCGTAACCCTCATCCCATTTTTATATATCAGTGTGTTCCATTACTATTTCCAAAAATGTGAATGAAACATTTGATTACCCTGAATGACGCCAAACCATGATTGTTAAAATGCAGACTCTTGATCAGAATCACACATAGAACTTGACACCACTTCCATTTGAAAACAAAATAGTGGGATGTCGTTAGGTTTATACTATTAAAGTTGGATCAAATGGTAAAGTCGATCGTCTCAAGGCCTGCTTAGTTATTAAAGGATGCGCTCAAATTTATGGTCTTGATTATAGTGATACTTTTTCTTCAGTGGCCAAAATGACTACTATTCATTTATTTTTTGCTACGACAACTATTCGTCATTAGCCACTTCTTCAATTGGATATCAAAAATGCATTTCTTCATGCTGATCTAGAGAAAGAGATCTATATGGAGCGACCTCCTAGATTTGTTGATTAGGAGGAGTCAAGTTTAGTTTGAAAAATTTAGCCTCACTGTTCAACTTTTGGGTTGAAACAAAGTGAAATAGATCATTTTGTTTTTTACTGTCATACGTCTCCTGATAAATGTATTATAGTATATGTTGATGATATTTTTATTACGGGGAGTGATGCTGTTAGAATATCTCAATTAAAGGAACACTTGTGCAAATATTTTCAAACCAAAGATCTTGGGGATCTCAAATATTTTTTAGGTATTGAAGTAGCTCAATCAAGAGAAGGTGTTGTAATATCTCAAAAGAAATATGCACTAGATATTTTAAGAGAGACCGATATAATTGACTGTAGACCAACAAACAATCTTATGGATCCAAATAAAAAACTAATGGTTGAACAAAGTCAATCATTCTCTGATCCAGAAAGATATAGAAGATTGGTGGGAAAACTTATTTATCTTACCATTTCTAGACTTGATTTGTCTTTTGCAGTTGGTTTTGTTAGCCAGTTCATGTAGGTTCCTTGCATTGACTATTGGAATGCCATCATCTGTATCTTGAGGTATTTGAAAAAGGACAGGGCTTGTTATATGATGATAGGAACAACACTCAAATATCTGGATATTGTGATATTGATTGGGTTGATTCCCCTTCTGACAAACGCTCTACTACATGGTATTGTGTTTTCCTTGGAGGAAATATTATTTCCTGGAAAAGTAAGAAACAAAATGTTGTGGCCTGATCAAGTGTCAAAGTTGAATGTAAGGCAATGACATCTCTTACTTGAGAACTTATATGGGTGAAACAATTTTTTCAAGAGCTTTAAATTTTGTGAGATCTTGACCATGGAAATGTACTGTGATAATCAAGTTGCACTTCACATTATCTTTAATCCAGTATTCCCTAAGAAAATAAAATACATTGAGATTGACTATCATTTTGTTTGGGAAAAGTTGGTGATTAAGAAAATTATACTGAGTTTATTGGATCTAATGACCAATTTGCAGATGTGTTAACAAAATCATTAAAGGATCCTCAGATTGAGTTTATTTGTTTCAAGTTTGGTATATACAATCTGTATGCTCCAGCTTGAGGGAGAATGTTGAAATTATTAATTAGTTGTACCTATCTTTGGACCTATGTCTTCTAGTTCACAATTCTTCCCCTTGACCATGTCTTCTAGTTCACAATTCTTCCCCTTGACCTTCCATCTTCTCATGTATATGTTCTTATCATTATAAATAAGATGTTATGTTAGAGGAATGATTAAGCCCTCTAAAAACTATTTTCTCTCTTTTATTTTAAGTATGTCAAATTCATGAATCTCTGTGACCAAGGTAATACCTCAACATGCGAAGGTAAGATTGTCCATCTACTACCCCCTATTTATAATACCTCGAAATTTTAAGAATGTAGACCTTTCTAATATATTACCCTTCTGACTTGGTTTGAAGTGTTCAACCCTTATTTCGTCCATTTTTCATAATTAAATTAAATTTCTTTATGAGATAAAATGGTTGTGGGCATTCTTACTCTGATATATTTCTAACGGCCTCTTAAATGAGATTATTTCTGGTAAATATAAAATTTTTCTAGGACTTCTACCTAAGAGTTTAAGCGAGGTTGGCTCTGTAGTTTGTTTGGGAAGCCTTCTTTGGCTTGTATTCTAAATCTTGATAAACATAACATAGCATATCATCATAACAGTGGATATGCTATTTTATACATTTGGTTTTAGGCCTAAATGTATATCAACATAAATGCAGGTGAATCAAAGGATATGGATATGGATGCTTGTGGATTCTGGCCCCTGAATATGACGGTAAATGTCTACTAATGGTGTGCTGTGCTCTACAGAGAAGTTCCCCTGATATCTATTTTAGTAAGAAACTAAGAATAGCAAATGCCTTGAACAGGGTACAAGCACGTGCAGATTTCTTGTTCTTGTTCATATACATATTTCTTAGAATTATCCTTATCAAATTAAATTTCTGTAAAAAAATTATGGGGATTTTTTTTCCTGAGTTTTTTGTTTCCATGTTTTGTTTTGTTTTTTTCCTTTACAAATGTTATCATCAGTAATTGTATTAAACTTTAACTTTTTTCTTGTTACACTGTGAAGAGAAAATGCTATATCCATTACCCAAGGATCTGTAGTGCTGTTTTATTTTCTTTTTAATAAATTTATCATTTTAGTTAAGAAATATTTATTTACACAATTTGATCCTTGTTAAACAGATTGTGTCATTTATTGAATAAATTATTTACTATACTTGGAGTACATATATTTGGTTTGGTTGGGTAACTGTGTATTGTTATGATAAATTGTGTTTCATTTTATGTTTGGGTCTTCCTCAGTAAAAGTTGATTGTCAAATCAAATTTAGATTGGTTTTGGTTCACGATTCTAGTTAAATTATTACCTTAAATGACAATGAAGAGTTTTAGCGAAATGTTTGTACGGAAAACTCTAAGGTAATTTGGGCCTAATTAATCCTTTTAAGGTAAAAAATGTTTGTAATGAATTAATAATGGTACTAAAATCATTCCCTCGAAATCACTCTATGATTTGTAAATTCTGAAGACTCAACAAGTAATAATACCAATTAGCATTAAGCCAAAAAGAAATTTATTAGACTCTGCTTAGAATATTTATTATTCTACATTGTCTTACCCGCTAAATTCGTTCATCCATTTTTTTATTGATTCATTTCAAATTTTTGAAATTGATCCACGATGTGATCATCATGCATTATGTGCGATTGCAAGGCATAGTTTCTGCCATTTGACACTGAGATGTACACACTATTCCACGTGCCAATGTTACTAATAGCCTTTGAGTAATTCTCTGTTAACCACATACCATGGAATCAGGAAAGTGATCGAGTCTCTAGATCTGTGTGTCAAAACCCTTTTTATTATTCAGCTTCATTACACTATTAAAAGCCACTTTCTACCATCTATTTCTTAACTTCTTGTACTCTTATCTGCTACTGTTACTGAATTTGATCAAAACATTGAAAATTATGGCTCCCCAAAGTATGTGTTTTCGTGGCACTTAACTTTGCTGTGTTGTTTGCACTTGTATCTGGATGTGAGAAGTGCCCTCCAACCCCAAAAGCACCAATCACGAAATTGACTGCTGATGCTAGTACTACCTCTGTAACTCCTCTCACTACGTGCTCACGTGATACACTCAAACTGGGCGTGTGTTCGGGAATTCTGAAAGGGTGGTTGAACTTCTCGATGGGTATGCCCGCAAGGGCACATTGTTGCGCTGCTTTGGTGACTTCGAACTTGCAATGTGCCTTTTCACTGCACTGAAAGCCAACATTTTTGGCTTCAACATCAACATTCCCATCTCCTTTACCAAGCTTATCAACGCTTGCGCAAGGAATCCCGGAACGGATTTTGTATGGCAATGGCTCACACATGCACATCCTATCTAGTTTCCCTTATTTTCTTCCTTCTATCTAGCTACACTCATTTTTTCCTTTCTTTTCTAGTTACTACTTCTTTCACAAATGATCTCATTCATGCATCTACTTGCATTGATGATTAATTTAATGCTACTTTTGTTATTTGTTGGAATTGTTATTGCAACTGCACCAAAATCAGACACAGTTAAAAAATTGAACTTTATACTACTTGAATTGAAAGTATACGATGAAATTAGTGGATGAATTAATTTAAAAACGCGTAATGACATAAAAAATTACAGAATAAGAGAAATAATTTCTAAAATAACAAGTAAATTAATAAAATAAACTTTAATTAAAATAGTGTTTGAAAATATTTTAAATACTATTAAAAAAGTTTGTATATTATATAAGTTTTGTTTAAATCAAGTTAATTTATAAGTTACTAAAGTTATTTGCGATACTCCAAAACTTCGTGAAATTTATGCTGTTTTATGTTGTTTATTTTTGTGATAAATGAATAAAATGCTTAATTAGTTCTTATAATCACCATAATATATCACAGCAACTGCAAAAGGGTTAACTAATTAGCTATGTTGATATAGAAATAAACCTCTTGTAATTCTCCCAACTAATTGAGATATGGTTGGGTACAAAATATGGATGTTTGATATGAACATTGATTTGTACAAAATATGTTCTTGTCTTCATCTTAAGCTAAATCTAAATTGTAAAAGGCTGAGAAATTTTAACTACAAATGCAACATTGTTTAAAACGCGATAGCAGATCAGACTGCAAAAGTTAACTAACATTTTGAAATATTAATCTAAGATTTTTAAAAACAGTTTTACTATAAATTTTTGAAAAACTATTTTTAAGTTTAAATTGAAAAAAAAAATCTTTGATGATTATAATTTAAAAGAAAAAAAGCGATAATAATAATGGTAAAAATAATTATGATGAAAGAAGATTTTTTTAAAACATTACAATAATGAAAACGAGTATGATATAATTACTAATAGAGATGCATATCTTGTTAATAAATGTAAAATTAAAATATTAAAATAATTGAAAATTAAAAAATCATTTTTAAAAACAATAAACAAAGATATTTTTCCAGATTTTTTTAATGTCGAGGTAAAAAATTAAGTCCCCATCTTCGTCCCGCTAGATTTTAGGAGTTTTTGTCATTGTCTCGTCTCCGATCTATATTATTTTTAGAAAGATAATTATATTTATAATAAATTAATTTTATTATATATTTTTTATATAGAAATAAATAGTTAAAATTTATAATTATTATTAATAAAATATATATTTATTTTATTATATTTATATTAAAATATGTATGTAAAAGAAATATTTAATTATTTTTTATTTATATATATAGAATATTATAACATTATTATTATTATTATTATACTAATGTATTGAAATATTTATAATAATATTATTATTATTATTTAAATATTTGATTACATATATAAGTTAATTTATTTTAAATTATTATTTAAAAATATGAAATATATAATTTATAAGGAAATATTTAATAAGTTAATTCTTATTTAATTAGTTCCAAGTAATAAAAGTTTAAATTATCAATTTTCTTTAATATTGTAAAATACAATTATTTTATTAAGATAAAATTTAATATATAATAAATAAGAATAATAAGATCTAAAAAATATGATATAATAAAATCTAATAAATATAAATTATAAATAAAATAATATTAGTTACTATAAGATTTATGTAAAATATTTAAAAAAAAATTAACTTTATATTCATAAAATTAGTTGAAAAAAATTGAAAAAAAAATTTAGAGAGATTAAGAAAATATAAAAAATTGAAAGATAAGACAAAAAGAATAATGTAATAAACTAATTAATATAAAAATTAAAAATATTTAAAATTAAAAAGTGAATAGAAAATAAATAAAAATGATAAAATATAAAAAAATAATCTTATATATAATAAAAAAAATTTTAAAATATTAATATTTTAAAATTTAAATTTAAATATAAAATAAAAAAGAAATTATACCTTTATATTATCTATTTCCATCCTTGAAATTCAAAAAAGAAAAAAAAAACAAAAAAACTCAAACTCAACTCAATCTACTCAATTCTTTCTTATCAAACTTAAGAGAAGAGACATTAGTCCCATCTTTCCGACCCATTTATGAACCTTCAATGTTTAGTAAAAGAGAATAAAATCTCGTACTTGTTCAAAATGAATGGTTAAGTAATTTTTTTTTTTCCTTTATCTGTTTAATAACGAAGGCTGATAATAAGATATGAAAACGCAAAATTTGAAATTATTTATATAAATTAGACTATATACAAATTAAATTGCTATATTAGTACAAATATATGTTTTAAATTTGATTTTTTGTAATTTAATGTTTTTAATAAAAATGCAAAATTGAATATAATAATATATTGCTAATTCGTATTTCGGATATGCCCAAATCAAATCCCTCTGTCTGAGTTGCCCAACTTTCAAGCAAATCTCGTTCTTGATTTTCTTAATTTTTGGATTTTTTTTTAACTTGTAGTCGGTGACTCACTCATTGGGAGCCTCTTCAAGCCGTCATCTTTCAATCTCCGGTGCTTCCTCTGTTCTTCAATTCCTTTCCTGTTTATGATTCCATCTGTTTCCATCTCAAAATCTGTTGGATTTGCCTTCACATACTTTTCATTTTACTTTATTGCTTTGCTTTGTTAATTTATTGATTAATTCCATCCGGAAATCTCAAGTTCATTTCCCAATCGCTGATCCCAACTCGAACTGGTTGATCGATTTTAGGGTTTATCTTGTGAAGCCCCTTGTATTGCATTCTTTTGACTCCTAATTTTTCTCAGGGTGATTCAGCTAGTTATTATTATGTGAAAAATGTGATTTTGACTCCTCTCAATTACTTCTATACAACATGTTTACTTCGAATTGCTTTGTTAAGTGGAAGTGCAAAGAGTTTGAATTAGCTCATCTAAATTATAGCTGATATTGCTCCCGCGATGCCTGTTTAGTAGTTCAATTTTATGAAAATAATTTTTTGCAGCTTCTCTTTGGAATATTAAGTGGGACATAAAATCTGAGAACTGAACAATTACGAGAACCAAAATTGAGGTGAATTGCATTGTTGAAATCGTTTTTTGGCAGCTGCATATTTAATTGTTTGCAATTTTGTTTCGTGTTATATTACTTAAAATAACATTTCATATATTGCAGCTGGGGGGAAAAGTTCAGGGCTTTAACCAGTTCTTACTATAAGTTAGCACAAGGAATCATTCTAGGTAGAGTGAAATTGATTTATTTACTTGAGAATGTAAGATTATTTTATTCTTCTACATCCTAGACATTTTTAGAATTTCTCTATGTACATTGCATACATGTAGTTAATTTTCACAAAGAAACGGCAGTTTTATTTACACAAACTATTTAGGGCCGACTATGAGTAGGAATACTTGATAATGTTATACTTCGTTCATTTCTCTAATGTATGAAATTGGACTGGATGACCTCAAATTCAAACAGAGTCTATTAGTCAAGGATCTCACCATGCAAGCAACATCGTATAGTCATCCTTTAATCTGTTTCTCTTGCAGGTTTATACTTCCCCTTTTTCCCTGATTTTTATGATATAATATTTGTTTTCTAAAGTTTATGTTTATTGAAAATAAAATGGAACTATTTTGTCTTGTAGAAACATCAGTACAAATTGGAAGACTAAGTGTACTGTCAAAATCCATGCACCATATCCCTCCCAACTGGATCGGAAATGTGAATTAAGTGGGAGACCTCATGGTTATAATTCTCCTAGGCCCATAAAATCAAACCGATTGTTTGTGCTTCATAACACAGGTGACAGCCATCCATCTGCTTCTACAGTAGATGATGAAATGAACACAAACCATGCTCCAAGTGGCATGTCACCGGCATTTCTCAGCAACTGGTCACCTCCCAGGTACCTGTGGAGGGGGTTATCAGTTTTAATCCTAGCAGGGCAGGTAATTGTCAAGACTCTAAAGGGAAAGATTCATTGGAGGAACACTCTTCAACAACTGGAGAGAGTTGGTCCAAGATCAGTTGGGGTGTGCCTTTTAACTTCAGCTTTTGTGGGCATGGCCTTCACAATTCAATTTGTAAGAGAGTTCACAAGGTTGGGATTGAACAGGTCTGTAGGTGGGGTTTTAGCTCTGGCTTTCTCAAGGGAGCTAAGTCCTGTGGTTACAGCAATTGTGATTGCAGGGCGCATTGGAAGTGCTTTTGCGGCAGAGTTAGGAACTATGCAGGTTTCTGAGCAAACTGATACATTGAGAGTTCTTGGTTCAGACCCTGTTGATTATCTGGTGACGCCAAGAGTGATTGCCACTTGTATTGCCCTACCACTGTTGACCCTCTTATGTTTTACTTTAGGGATGGCATCTAGTGCACTTCTTGCTGATGGTGTTTATGGGGTGAGCATCAACATTATCCTGGATTCAGCTCAGCGAGCTCTCAGATCATGGGATATTATTAGTGCAATGATCAAGTCACAGGTTTTTGGTGCTATCATATCTATTGTGAGTTGTGCATGGGGAGTTACAACTTTGGGAGGTGCTAAAGGAGTTGGTGAATCAACAACCTCAGCTGTTGTTATTTCTCTTGTAGGCATTTTCATTGCTGATTTTGCTCTTTCTTATTGTTTCTTCCAAGGAGCAGGAGATCAGCTAAAGAATTGCATTTAAGCAACTAATGTTGTCTCTGCAATTTTGCTGATATGTACAAAGTGAATGGTATGAATTTTCTATAAAAGATGCGTTAAAATCTTTAGAATTAGAATCTGGTGCATTGGTCTTGTTCTTTTATAAGTTATAGTTATCTAGTTTATACTATATTTTGTACAGTTGTGCATCCTTCGAACATGGTAAAGACGTTTATATTTCCTTTGACCCTGGTAATATATTTTCTATGATTAGAGGCTTGAATTTCTCATTTTGGAGTTATTTGTGAAATATAATATCAATCCTATCATGCTATATAGATCTCTGGAAAATTTCAGTTGAACTTAAATATTGACAATAACAATCACTTAGTCATCTTCCACTTAATAACAATTAATGAGGTGAGATTTTGATGTGGATATGACCTATGACAAGGGTTAGAGCAAGGGAAGCAAATGAAGCTCATCAAAAAGTATTATTAGTTGACCAAATTATGTTTTGAATTAATCAATTAATGGGTTTTAGTTTGATTTTGTTTTAAGTTGTAATAAAGGCCCAATTGAAAATTTAGTCATCAACCTTTGGGAGACCAAGGGGAGCATAGCTGATTGACTTTTGGTTGCCACAGTTTCAGATATAATCAGTCATTAAGTAGTTTCAATTCCTAGGTTAATGGATCATTATTAGCCTTTATTTGTTTCCATTAAATAGTTTTCAATTCCTAGATTAAAGGTTATTTTTAGTATTTATTTTCTTTTATTGAGTCTTGTAATTTTGATGACAACGTTTTTATATCAGTTGAACCATTTTTATCAAGAAATAACAAGGAGATTTTTATTCAAAAATATTAAAGTTTATCTCTTTTATCTCAATGAAAGTGATTCTCTTAAATTCTTGAGTGATTCAAGAACCCTTGGCTGAATCAAAGGACTTTCATATCTTTTGTGTATTGTCTCCCTTGGGAAGAGTGATTTTTTTCTTCCACCTTCTTTCTAATTCCTAAATTTCTTACAAGGTTCTAATCTTAAAGATTCTAAATCACTCTTTATGATTCATTTCAGGTTTGTTCTATAAATAAAATACTTAGTTCTGTCAAAACCAATTGCAAAGTGTAGACTACCCATTGTGCCCAAACCTCTCTTGTCACTGTGCTTGGTTATGATTTTCAGTTATCTGTCAAAACCAATTTTAAAGAGTAGACTATGAATTCGTGATTCCTTACTTGCTTGCAATTTGAACTAGTTGTAATGAGTTGTTTAATATAATATGTAGGTTATGAATATACCGGTAGATAAAAAGAACTGAAATGAGGCAGTCACTGCCGCTGATTTGGAAAGATAGGTGACTCAGGTCTATGACTAAATGGGAAATTTCATTTGATATGTGTGCAGCTGTCATGACATGACCATGTCGGAGAAATCATCTGAGCGCTTATGAGATATGCTTCATGTTCTTGTCTTTGGTGGAATTTTGTGTTTTGTGTTGGTAAATCATGTTTGTTTTCGATGAATGATGATGATAATGTCCACCACTATCATCAGGGCTTGGTTCTGGGATTTAAACGATTCATTTGGATCTATGACAATAACTGTTAAAACAATGATTGAAGTTCTTCATACATAGAGACTAACAACATACGAAATTCAAAACAAATTATGAGCTTTACCCCTTTTTCTGTCATATTTGTTATTTCATGAAATCTAGGAGATCCAAAACCTATAGCTGTCATGCAAAATAAATGAAAAAAAAAATAATGTAATCCGGTACTCATGATCTCCATGACATCTAACGCTATTTTGTAACAAGAAATGGTAAAGTCTTCACGCAGTACTCTGCAAAGATAAAAGCCTAACAAATTCCAAAACCTTCTCACAATCCTTAACAAGGACTCAACCATAATTATATAATTGTTAACTGAACCGGTAAACTGATCATGAACTAGCTAGTGATTAATTTGGTTTACCTTTTCCCCCGTACACCTCGTTAATTGTTTAGACAATTGTATTTATTCAGTTTTTTTTTGGTAAGAATTTGTTTAGGTGGTTGCTTTTTTGTAAGATAAAAAAATAATCAGTCATTTTGATGGACAATATTATATCCTACATAGTTGATTACCCGTTTGTTTTACATTTTCCAAAATCTAAACCCTCCTTAAAAGGAAGAATTATCCCTATTTTGTTGAATGATGTGCCAACGCAGCTAAATTGAAAACAAACCGGCACTGTATACATCTCTCAAATATTTTATTATGAAAAATTTATATTTATATGTATAAAAAAAGTAACATGATAACATGGATACCTGACAACCCCGACACTATAGGGGAATCCAAAACATAGTGGGTGGGTAAATGGTATTATCTAGACAGATGGGAAAATATAAAAATAAACCATAAATTGTATTTGTTTTTCATAAATTTAAATTATACAATAAAAGGATATTAAAAGAATAAGATAAAATAATTAATTAAGTATAAAAATAAAAAATAATATTACAAAAATGTTATATGGGGCCGGCCAGTAGTCCCGTAGGACACGCCTTTCTTTTTCAGTTCTGGTATTTCCTTCTATCCTACTTTTCCTTTTCTTAGCCTCTCAGTTTTTCAACCTTTGACCCTCTCATCCCAATCAATTGAAAAATCAATCACAATCACTTTCCTCTTCCCTTGTACAGACCAATTCCCCTTTTCATATATACATATATTTTTTTTTTCAAATGGGTACCATCGTCTATCAGTTTTATTGGGCGCCATTAATTGGCCATTTTTTTGTTCATATAATTCCAAGTTAGCATCTTTTTCTCTTCCGTCGTTCTGGGTTGATTGCATCAATTAATTACCTGGTTTGTTTAATTGTTGGTTATATTTTATCGTTTTTTGATTTCCAACACTTTCTTTTTTATCACTTTGCTTATAGCTGAGTCGAACTTTGTCAAATTTTAAGTGTTGGTTTATGCTTTTTTGCTACCATTTGCATGCATCAGCTGTTTCCTCTAGAATCTGGATATCTGGTTTCTTCTTTCTTACATTATTCCCCTTGCTAGCTTTTGTCTCTTTCCGTTAAATATTTCCCCATTGGTTTTAATATTCTATTTGTGTTTTTATCATTAGTTTCACTCTTTTCTTTTCTTTTCTTTTTTTCTTGTTAGGGGTGTTAAGGAATATATCTTTAATAAGCATTGCCTATTGGCTTCCTAATTTTTTAGTTTTTTTTTTGGCATCATGTCTTATTTGTTAATTTGTTAGTTACTATGTTAGGTAAATATGTCTAGAATGTTTTGGAACATCTCATTTTTCTCTAATTTCTGTTCTGTAATTAGGTTCCTTCTTTAGAGTGAGTCAGTATAACTGCCAAGAGTAGCAGTGTTATTATTTTGTGAAGATGGTACTGGGAATAAGATCGAAAAGTAGAAAAAGAGTCTCTATCCAAGTTCACTACACAATCCATGTTCAGGAAATCAAGCCATGGCCCCCTTCACAATCACTGAGATCTGTGCAATCGGTATTACTGCAATGGGAAAATGGTGATCAAAATTCTGGGTCTCTAGCATCCACTGCTGGCATTGGAAAAATCGAATTTAATAATTCTTTTAGGATTTCAGTTCTTATGTGGAGAGATGCATCCAAGAAAAGCAAACACCGTGAAAATTTTCAGAAGAACAACTTGGAGTTTAGCTTGTATGACAAGACAGTAAAGAGTCAATTATTGGGGTCAGCCACACTAAACTTTGCAGATTTTGGAATCATCAAGGAAGCGATAGCCTTAAGCATTCTGTTGAACTGCAAGAAGAGCTCCAAGAATTCTTCACCACCATTGCTTTATATTAGTATTCAGCCATTTGATACAGAGTGTTCTAGCTCATCACCAAGCAGCAGCTTGTCAAAAGGGTTGTCACTAGACAAGGAAGGAAGTGAGTCTGTGTCACAGTCACTAAAAGATGACGATGATGTTGAAATTGCCTCTTTTACTGATGATGATAGTGATGACGTCCCTTCAAATACCTTCCAAACCATCAGATCTGCTTCCAAGACTACTGGAGGTTTGTCCCCTCTGATTGAAAAGTACTGTAGTTAAAATCTTCTAATTGTGCTCAAGGCAAATATATCCATCATCACCTGTTTGTACCAAAGAGATTTTTTTTACATAGTATGGATATTATCAAGTCATTGTTATGATTAAGTAAGTAACCTCACTCCAGCTTAGACCTTATTGAGATGGATTTTGCTTCACAAAACACCTTTATGATGCTTTACTATTTGTTATAATATTAATAGATTGTATTCCTCTTTACTTTTGACATACCTATATGCATTAATCAAATACATCAACATGCTTAATGCGTTTAATTGTTAATTGGTATGCATTATGATTGTGAAGGTATGCATACATGCACTGGTCTGGTATGCAGTATGATGCTGCAATTCATGTTCTTTTGATCTTACTATATTCAGGATATGAGATGATATTATTAACCTAAATTTGTTTTTCTGTATCTCAACTACCTCTAAGGTTGGTTTTTAATTGTTAATTTAGCTCTACATAAAATGATCAAATGTTTGAACCCTAAATGTATTGACATGTAATCCTCTTTAAATGTTAAGCAGATACACAGGGTCTGTTTGGATATCTTCTCTATAAACACTTATAGGAGAAGAAAATAATAAGGAAAAATTAAATAAACTTTCTTTGTTAGCTAAAATTAAGTTATAAATTAATTTGTACAAGATCTCTCATATTAGATTCTCTAAAAATTATTTTAAACATATGCATAAGCTAATTTGAGTTTATGGAGAAATTTATTTTATTTTTGTTTCTTATTCTCTTTTCTTATAAAAGTGTTTTTAGAGAAACTTATCGAAACATACTATAGTGAAGGAAATAAATAGAACGATGCAGATGCATTACTGATGATGCAGTTTTTCTATTGATTGTCTGATCTCTAGACCAGTAATAATTTATAGTGAAACAAAATTGTCTAGTTCTTCCATATTAATAACCTGTTGCCATTTGATTTCAGGCAGTATCAAAATCAGCGAAGGAGGAGCAGAAGGATCTCATGGAGAATTTGTTGTACCCTCAGAAAGTACTACTTCTAGCTTAGTTGGAAACACACAGAGTCAAACGCCCACACAGTTCAATGGCATCGAATCTCCCGCTTTGACTATGGTTCTTGGTTCAAACAAGGTAACTGCTGCCGTTGGCAGCCCTTCATTGCCTAAGATTTCTGAGGAAACTGTCAAACATGCTGATGCAATATTGAAAACTCGAGAAAACATTCAACAATCTTCTGCTTCATGCATCTCATCAAGTATGCAACCGAACTTTAAAAGACCTTTCCAATCTCAAGTAACTCAAGAGAATAGCATGATTCAAGCAGATGGCACAAGAGATCAGAGACTTAATAAAGATGCTCTGGAGAAAGATAGCAGTGTTTCGTACTCTGGGGTTATAGGGGACAAAGAGAAAATGGAGGAGGAAAGGAAAGGACAAAAACAGTTTATTGAGAGGAATGAACATAATGAGCTCAATAATTTTTCCAGTGATGCTTGTACAAAGAAAGGGAGTTTAAATAGTCCTACTCTTCTAAACAAGATACCACATGAGCGTCCAAGAAGTATTTTGATGAATGATAAAACCGAAGATGTGGACAAAGAAAAAATGAAAGAGGGAAGCAAAGGACAGAAACAGTTTCCTGAGAGGAATGAACTTTTGGAAAATAAGCTCAATAATTTTTCTGATGATGATTCTACAAAGAAAGGGAATTCAAATAGTACTACACTTCTAAACAAGAAATCACATGAACATCCAAGAAGTATTTTGATGAATGATAAAACCAAGGACGTGGACAAAGAAAAAATGCAGGAGGAAAAGAAAGGACAAAAGCAGTTTGCCGAAAAGAATAAACTTTTAGAAAATGAGCTCAATAATTTTTCCGATGATGAGTCTACAAAGAAAGGGAATTTAGATAGTACTACCCTTCTTCTAAACAAGAAACCATATGAACATCAAAAAGGTATTTTGATGAAGGATAAAACTGAGGTTGTGGACAAAGAGGAAATGGAGGAAGGAAGGAAAGGAATGAAACAATTTACTGAGAAGAATGAACTTTTAGAAAATGAGTTCAATAATTTTTCCAATGATGAGTCTGCAAAGAAAGGAAATTTAGATAGTACTGTCCTTCTAAACAACAAACTACATAAACATCCAATAAGTATTTTGATGAGGGATAGAACTGAGGATGTGGACACACAGAAAATGGAGGAGGGAAGGAAAGAAATAAAGCAGTTTATTGAGAGGAATGAGCTTTTAGAAAATGAGCTCAATAATTTTACCAATGATGAGTCTATAAAGAAAGGGAATCTAGATAGTACTACCCTTCTTCTAAACAAGAAACCACATGAACATCCAAAAAGTATTTTGATGAGTGATAAAATCGAGGATGTGGATCAAGAGAAAATAGAGGAGGAAAGAAAAGGGGAAAACCAGTTTACTGAGAACAATGAACTTTTAGAAAATGAGCTCAGTAATTTTTCCAATGATGATTGTACAAAGAAAGGGAATTTAAATAGTACTACTCTTCTTCAAAACAAGAAACCACATGAGCGTCCAAGAAGTATTTTGATGAGGGATAAAACTGAGGATGTGGACAAAGAGAAAAGGGAAGGGAAAAAACAGTTTATTGAGAAGCATGAACTTTTAGAAAACGAGCTCAATAATTTTTCTGATGATGAGTCTACAAAGAAAGGGAATTTAGATAGTACTGTTCTTTTTCTAAACAAGAAACCATATGAACATTCAAGAAGTATTTTGATGATTGATAAAATTGAGGACATGGACAAAGATAAAATGGAGGAGGGAAGGAAAGGACGAAGTCAGTTTATTAAGAGGAATGAACTTAATGACCTCAATAATTTTTCTGATGATGATTCTGCAAAGAAAAGAAGTTTAAATAACCCTATTCTTCTAATCAAGAAACCATCTGATCATCCAAGAAGTATTTTGATGAATGATAAAACCGAGGATATGGACAAAGAGAAAATGGAGGAGGGATGGAAGGGACAAAACCAGTTTACTAAGAGGAATGAACCTAATGAGCTCAATAATTTTTCTGATGATGATTCTACAAAGAGATGGAGTTTAAATAGTCCTACTCTTCCTTTAAACAAGAAACCACATGAACATCCAAGAAGTATTTTGATGAATGATAAAACCGATGACATGGAGAAAGAGAAAATGGAGGAGGAAAGGGAAGGACAAAAGCAATTTACTGAGAGGAATGAACTTTTAGAAAATGAGTTCAGTAATTTTTCCGATGATGATTCTACAAAGAAAGGAAATTTAGATGATACTATCCTTCTTCTAAACAAGAAACCACAAGAACATCCAAGCAGTATTTTGATGAGTGATAAAACCGAGGACGTGGACAAAGAGAAAATGGAGGAAGAAAGGGAAGGACAAAAACAATTTACTGAGAGGAATGAACTTTTAGAAAATGAGTTCAGTAATTTTTCCGCTGATGATTCTACAAAGAAAGTAAATTTAGATGATGCTATCCTTCTTCTAAACAAGAAACCACAAGAACATCCAAGCAGTATTTTGATGAGTGATAAAACCGAGGACTTGGACAAAGAGAAAATGGAGGAGGGAAGAAAAGGACAAAACCAGTTTACTGAGAGGAATGAACTTTTAGAAAATGAGCTCAGTAATTTTTCCCATGATGATTCTACAAAGAAAGGGAATTTGAATAGTACTACTCTTCTTCTAAACAAGAAACCGCATGAGCGTCCAAGAAGTATTTTGAAGAAAGATAAAGTAGAGGATGTTGACAAAGAGAAAAGGGAGGAGGGAAGGAAAGGGAAAAAACAGTTTACTGAGAGACATGAACTTTTAGAAAATGAGCTCAATAATTTTTCTGAAGATTCTACAAAGAAAGGGAATTTAGATAGTACTGCTCTTCTTCTAAACAAGAAACCACACGAACATCCAAAAAGTATTTTGATGAATGATAAGACCAAGGATGTGGCTAATGTAAAATTTCCTCTACAATCTGCTGAGAACTATGGGCAAATCAGCAATCAGACCCATAATCAGCCAGAGGAAATTAATACTACGAATGATGTTCATGTTGGTAGTTCTTGCCATGAAGTCATTAATGCAAGTGGCAGTTTTCTTAACAATGACACTGAATTGAAGGCTGAAGTTGAAATGCTTCAAGAAGAACTGAGGGAGGCTGCTGCACTTGAAGTTTCAATGTACTCAGTTATTGCTGAACATGGTAGCTCATCAAACAAGGTCCATGCACCTGCTCGGCGCCTTTCTAGATTCTATTTCCATGCATGTAGAGTTGGGTCCCCTGCTACAATAGCCAGTGCAGCCCAGAGTGCTGTCTCTGGATTTGTTTTGGTTTCAAAAGCATGTGGGAATGATGTTCCAAGGTACACAAAACTTGATTTTATAATTTTTTAAATTATGCTGAAATAACATAAAAAGTTCATGAATAACTGAAGATCTTGTTTTTTTCAATCTAAAGTGCGTCAAATTTTTTAGATAAAAGCTGAACCTAGGATTTCTTGCTTGCTTTTCTGACATATGGAGATATGTATGTGAGATGGTGCCACAATATTTTTTATCTTTTGAAGTGTGAATGGATGTAGGAGAAAGTTGGGGAAACAACTTTTGAGGAGATGATTGAGACTCATCTAAGGTGGCTTGGTCTTGTGAGGGGAAGACCAACAAAGGTTCCCTTAAGGAAAATGTATTAAATGAACTAAATTAAAATTATACAAAGGGAAAATAATAGATGGAAGGGTAGCTCAAAATTGTGTATATGAACTCCACAATAGAGTTCATTTAATATATTAACTGATTACTGTAAATACAGATGATTATAAAAGATTTTATTCAAATGTCTCTAATATTTTTAGCAAAAATTTAGAATAGGTAAAGGAAGAAATCATTAGGACAAATAATAACATAAGACATTGATCTAAGATGGTAAATGGAATTTTTTTTCAGTTAACTGAAAACTTGCCTTTTTTATTTAGATGCAATGGCATTGTTTGATTAATGTAGCCAACCCCAACTAATGGGATCAGGCTTACTTGTTGTATCTACTGAAGTTTGATTGATTTAACATCATTTTCAAAGCTTACTATTTCTTAACCATGACTAGGTTGACATTTTGGTTCTCAAATTTGATATTGCTGAGAGCAATTTTGAGCAAAGAAATTAAAGATATACACCATGGTGTTGGTTCATGCATCAACAGTAAATGTGATGCGACTGGCAACACAGTTCATGAAGAAGAAAAAGACAAGACAGAAAACCAATTTCATAGCTGGGAGGATTCAAAAACATTTTTAGTTGCACTAGAAAAGGTTGAAGCATGGATATTCTATCGAATTGTTGAGTCTGTCTGGTGGCAGGTTGAATCCTAACCATTCATCTTCTCCTATTTCTTCTAATTATTCTGCTTCTTGATCTCCATTCTGAAACTTCGATTTGAAACCAAAAGCCCTTGTACATTTCCTGATATTTTTTATGTTTTCTGTCCCCAGACTCTTACACCATACATGCAGTCTGCAGCTGCAAAGAGCTCTAGTTCTAGGAAAGCCTATGAAAGAAGACCGCATGTGGGTGATCAAGATCAGGGAAGTTTTTCTATTGAGTTATGGAAAAGAGCTTTCAAGGATGCATGTGAAAGGCTTTGCCCTCTTCGAACTGGTGGCCATGAATGTGGCTGCTTGGCTGTGATAGCTAGATTGGTACAATTTAATGTTGATATTTCTTGATGCAATGTATTGCAATGCTGGATTTGAGGATATTCAACTTTTTATACATGTGAATGGGTGTTGATTTACATGTAGTTATATAATATGACAAAACATATAGATTGGTGTCTCTGTCACTACCTTATCTGGAAACGTTTGCAGTAATGGTTAACGGGTATTTGTTTAAAATCACAAAATCATCTGTTCTGTCAATTCTCTAAATTTTTTAAAACCGCCAGGGTGGTGGTGTTAATGTGCTTGTGAAGGTGCTAGTATACATAAATTGAAAGCTAAAATTGTCATGATCCTCAGCTTTTGGCTGATTTAGTTTCAGACTTGGACCAGTTTGTTATTGTTAGTACTGTAGGGGGTGGGGGGAAATCATTTTTTGGGCCAACACCTGCTCTGGCTGATTTGGTTCCTGACCTGATCCTCTTTCACCACGTGGTCATGACTGCAATCATCACCTTGCCAATTCTTCATAAAATATGAATATTTATGTCAGAAAAGAATATATTAGTTAGCTAAGATTTCACAGTTGTTGGCTAGTTGCCTATAAATAAAGTAGGGTTATATTTTACACAGGCTGCAACAATAACAGAAGTGCCGAGCATAGTGTCTTTGATCTCTCCATCGCTCTACTCTTTCTCTCTATCCTTTTCTTCTCTCCATTGCCCACCTAAGTTCTATATCAGATAAAAACCATTTTGGGCTGCTTTTGGGTTGATTTGATTATTGACAGTTGAGGACTTGAGGAAACATAGGCTTTTTCCATCTGTTCATTCGTTATTATTTACTTCTGGTCAATATTTTGTGTATATAGAATTATTTATATCGGTGGTTTATTCTTGAAATGTTTTAGGTTGTATAGATGGAAATGTTATTGTTTCCTCTGAATGGTAATGATAATTTTGTCTATTGGTTCATATCTTGAAAGGGCAAACAATAAAATAAAATGCAGCCTGATGTAAATAGGAGTGATTTTGTGGTTGTAGGTGATGGAGCAGTTGGTTAGTAGACTTGATGTGGCAATGTTCAATGCTATTCTTCGTGAATCTGCTGAAGAGATGCCCATGGATCCTGTATCTGATCCCATTAGTGATTCTAAGGTTCTTCCTATTCCAGCTGGAAAATCAAGCTTTGGGGCTGGTGCACAACTGAAGAATGCTGTGAGTTATGAAACTTTTTTGTCCTATGCTTTCTTTCTTTCAAAAGACACAGAATTGATCATAATCTTTATATATTTTCACCTGTAAGGCTTGCTTCCTCTGTACCACAGCAATATGCTTTACGATGACTCTGAGAAAGTTTACTAGCTGATCAAAGATGTAAAGTATTTTATGATGTTTTAGTTTAAGTATTTAGAAAACAAACATAATACCTTTAGTTGTTGAATCTTAATAAACAAATGCTACTGTAACACAGAGAGTGGATATTAGAGACAAACTTTGGATTTTTTCCTTAGGTCAGAAATTTTATGGCAATATACAGAGTTCACCACGAGAAAATAAACTTGATGTCCCATGTTTATATTTTCAATTAACTAATCCTTTGAAATTTTAAAATCAAAAGCTTTTGAATTTGGATGCATTCATAATTAGAATCATGAAGTTTCTTTTTCCTGGGCGTGCCCCTCATCTTAAAACATGTCTTTATCTCAAGTTTAATTTATACATTGTCCACGTAAGTTTGTTGCGTGATGGCACAAATTAAACAAATTTTATTTGTTATAAAATAGTGATGCAAGAACATATTGAGCAATGAAGAGCTAATAAAGAAAAAAAAAAAAAAACAAACGTGGCAGAAATGAGCATGCTGAGGTGGGTGAGTGCGTACGAGTAGGAGTGAATGTATCCATAAGAAAGTTATAGTAGCATCAACTGAAGAGAAGATGACGGAAACTTGCTTAGTTGGTTTCATCATGTGAGAAGAAGACCAGTAGGGGCTTCAGTGAGAGTGTACCAAATGGAAGTTAGTCCAATCAAAAAAGGGTGGAGAAAGACATAAGAAAACTTGAGAAACCATTTAGAAAGGCCTCCCCGAAAATGGTTCTACTGAAAATTTGGTTCTTGATAAGCTTTTAATATCCATGTAGCCAACCTTACCTAATAAAATAAGCATGGTTGCAATTCAGTGAAGGATATGTGGTGTTCATTCTCTTGGGTAACTTTTTATTATCTGTACTCAGGTTGGTGACTGGTCAAGATGGCTTTCAGATTTATTTAGCATTGATGATAGTGACTCCTGCGAAGTAAGCAATGAAAACGATGAACCCAAATGTGAATCATCCTTCAAACCTTTCCTTCTCCTCAATGTCTTAAGCGATTTGATGATGCTTCCTTTGGACATGCTTGCAGATGGGTCTACGAGAAAAGAGGTTGGATCAAATTTCTCTATTGTTGACTTGTCTTTCTTCTTTTCATTTTTAATACTTTGAGAAACTACTTCTAATTGTATCATGTAAACAATAATGCAGGTTTGCCCTAGATTTGGCATATCATTGATTAAACGAGTTGTCAACAATTTTGTTCCCGATGAATTCTCCCCGGGGCCTGTACCGGATGCTGTTTTCGATGCCCTGAACAATGAGGTTGGTTTATTTTTGGCATCCTTGGTGAATACAAGAAGCAATAAGTATGGTGTAGGAATGTATTATTGCAATGTCTACATTCTAATTCTATGTTTGCCTGAAGATTGTTTGATTGGATTTTGTCATTTTAGGATATTGAGGATGATCAAGGGGCCATTACAAGCTTGCCATGTTCTGCTGGTTCCACGTTCTATGCACCACCTCCAGCTTCTTCAATTTTGGGCATGCTACAAGAAGTGGGAACCAAGACTTCTCTAAGAAGTGGGTCATTTGGACTCAAAAAATTATATACCAGTGATGATGAACTTGATGAGTTGGATGCACCACTTTCTGCTCTTGGCATGGATGAATCATCATTTTCGTCCAAGGAAAAGTTTGCACCAGTTAAGGGAGGTCGTAAGGTCGTACGTTACGAGCTCTTGAGAGAAGCATGGAAGAGCAGTGAATAATGACTCTGTTCCTATCCATGTTTTTTTTTTCCTTGTATATAATATGCATTTACCATTTAGCCCAATATATTCTCTATTTTTGTAAAACAAACATTTTGGCCTATATTATATAATCTTGTATTTTTTTACACATAAAACTAGCAAGAAAGTTTCAGTCATTTTCATAGATGTTTTCTTCCAATTGAAAATTTATTCACGTATCAAAATTCATTCCTCCAAACGTGTATTTTAGAGGACCTTCGAAATCAACTATTAAAATTGCGTGTATACAATAAAACTTGCTTTATTAATATTTAAATTAATGGATATAATTTTAGATTTTACTTTTTAAGTTGCACTCTTCAACTTTTAGAGAATATTTTGATTGCATTGGGATGAAGAGCTTTGGAAAATTTACCCCAATAAAGAAAAAAAAATTGTATAACTTTCTAAATTATAACTAATTGGGAAATTTGTAGGTGCAATGGTTATATATACATATGAGTTTGTTTGGACAAGTTTTTCCATATAAGTCCTTTTAGGTAAAAAAAATGAAGAAAAGAACGAAATTAATTTTATTATAAATTAAAACTACTTTATGCATAAGCTATAAAAAAAAAGAAAAATTAAAAATTAATTCAAAGACTCACATTTGTCCTCCTCAAAATTGGGCATCCATGGAGAATTTATAATAAAGAAATAATTTTTTTATTTCTTAGATATCTCATCATTATTTGTCATTTTTTAGTCGAGAGACTAATGTTGTGAAACATACTTCCAAAGTTAAATTTTTTAACTTTTCAGCTATTATATTTTGTTTTCAATATAACCTTAATTTTAAGATGTCATTAGCGCCTGATTTTACCACATTTGGTTGCAACGAAGTTTGACTTGATGAATGAGTTTTGAATTTCAGAATCCGCAGAATGAAAAATGGGTTTTCAATGACTTCAACTTGGGATGGAATTGATTAACCCAGGGAAGAAAAGGACGCATTTTAGGATGAAATAGTATCAAAAGAAGTGTGAATCTTAATATTGTGTGAAGATCCTGGTTTTCAGTAGAAGCCATGTTGTGTAAAAACTATGGCTATGGGCAAATTCATAAATTATGTTCGGTCAACTTTCTATTATTGGTCAACTCTCTTTTCTCGTTTCCTCTTCTATTTTCCGTCAATGAAAACTTTTCCTGCATTGTCTGAGCTATAATTTTGGGTATCCGTAAATTAACAAGTTCTTATAGCCTGAAGTTAATTCACTTCCATGGTTTATCATTGTTCCATTTGCCATTGAGTATTCTATTTTTTTTAAATCGAAGAGAAGCACGTTCATAAACAACTAGATCAACCAGTAATGGGTAGCATATTCCTAGAGCAAATAAAAAAGCAGACAACAACTTTTCTGCAAGAGAAGTACAAATCTGCGAGGATGACATTTACTGATGTTACTGAAGCTGAATTGTAAGTGCATGTGTGTATATGTGTATAAACAGAGTAATGCATAATTTATTGATTGAAGTTTGTATGTTGTTGTCACCAGATTACTGGTAAATAAATGTAACTCTTATATGATTAATTCATGTTCATGGTTTCCAAAAGACTTGGCAGCTCTGGGATTAAGAGGCATTAACGTATAATACTATATCATTAGGCTGGCAGAGGAAGCAACAAATAAGGATGAATGCAGTCCTGATGCCAAAACTATGACTAGAATTGCAGAGGCATCCTTTGACATAGATGAATATTGGAGGATTGTTGATATTCTTCATCAAAGGTATGCTTGTTCATTGACACCCTTTTGCCTAATTTTTTTAAGATGGCATTATTATATATTTCAATTTTATAAATGTGGCATTTCTCTAGAGTTTATATCTACTGGTTGTTTACACTATCACTTAAAGTGCAGGTTTTATAACATCGATTGGGAGCACTGGAGGCAAGCTTACAAAGCACTAGTTCTTCTAGAATTCTTGCTGACGCATGGTCCTCAAGAGTTTGCTCAAGAGTTTCTATGTGATGTAGAAATTATTGAAGAACTAGGAGGGTTTACTCATATTGATGAAAAAGGGTAAACCTTAAATCTGAATCCATTAATTTGTGGTAAATAACAGTTGAATATGGTGTCATGATTTGTTTATTTTATTTAAGTTTATTTCAGAACAGAAGATTTTTGTTTTTGAAGTCTACACTAGAAGTTAAAATTGAAAAGGTGAGGAAAATGCAGATAAGGGTGGAAACTAGGGACAAAAGTAGCTGAAGTGTCACAATCCTGGGTAGAAAAAATGGCAAAAAGCTCTTAGTAAATAAACCAAAATAAAAGGGTCTGAAAATATTTTAACATTCTGAAGTATGATTTGGTTGTGTTAAGTTCAAAATAAATTTAACCATGCTGAAAGACCAAAGGTTTGAGTTCAAATGCTGCCTTTCTTCTCATGTGTAGTTTGGATTACATACCTCGCATTGCATGAAATCATAAATTGAATTTCCAATTTAAGTATAGTTTAATTTTCTGATGAGTCATGATTTTGATTTTGATTCCTGTACATGAACCAATTTCAGGTTTAACTGGGGATCTAGAATGCAAAAACTATCAGACCAAATAGTGAAGCTTTTACAGGATGGAGAAGCTCTGACAGAAGCACGTTTGAAGGCTCTGAAAATAACAAGTGAAATACAAGGCTTTGGAAGTTCAGTGACCTCTCCAACGTCGTCATCATCATCATCACCAGGCACCTCATCATTTTATTCATTTTCCACACCAAGTACCCCTGCTTACATATTTGACTCTGACGATAAGCCAAACAAACCCCACTCACCCTCCGCTAGAAATGATAATAATGTTAACATAATCCTCCCACCAAGGAATTTAAAGCAAGTGAACAAAAACCACCTTTGGAAACGTTTTGCAGGTGAAGAGAAGAACATTTTGATTGATTCCAAGGAAGAGGAAGATGTGGACAAACCAAAAGGGTTGGTGAGTGAAATTTGCTCAAAGATATCTGGTGTTAGTCCCGTGGGAGGACAAAAACGTGAAAAAGTTGAATTTAGATGCCTCTCCGATGTTGGGAGCAAGGCCAACCAAAAGAAATTTGATCGCCAATATTCACTTTGGTTTTGAATTTAAAGAATATTGTAATAGCATATGATACCACTCTTTGCTTCATGTTATGTAATTACTGATTGAGAGAGAAGTACCTAACATTCATTTCTTGAGAAAGTGAAACATAGCAATTCTTTTTGTTTGTTTTTTTTCTCCAAAAAACTATGAATTATATATACTATGAATTAGAAGAACAGTGATTGATACACCCAAAGCAGAAGAGCATGATAGCCACTGATAATGGTGGGTGGAAGATTTTAGGCCTTTTCCACAAAATCACACCATTGATAGGTGGGGTAGGGCAAATTGTTTTAAATTATTAAAAGTATATTTTAAAATTATCAAATTTTTAAAATAGAAAAATATGTAGTATTATAATGACATTATGGTCACCTCCATTAAAGTTTTGTTAAATAACATTCCTATCTCTCTAATTTTTATATAAATACTCACTTTCACATAATATAAAGTAATTAAGGTAAGTAAGGTGGGTGCAATAAAAAGAAAATAATGTTTTGAAGCTTCGAATTCAAAAGGCAGATGAACCACCACCAGTTATTAGCAACACAAAAACACTTCAATTTAGATCCATTAAATCAAGTTTATACTTGTATTTTTATTCACTTGTGTGTGTATTATATAATTCAATAAGTGTCTATTTGTATGATACTTGAAGTGGCTTTCTTAATGGGCTGTGACAATGAGATTTGACACTGATTTTCTTTTATCATTTTTTAGTTTTACCATTTTTTTATTCTTAGTCAGTTTTGTCTTGTCTCAGGATGAATATATTAATTTCTGTTTACTTCTCTAAATAACGTTTTTTAGTTTTTTGTTGTTGTTGAGAAAAGCTGTTTTTCAAGGAGAAGTCCTGTTTAAAGGATTTTATTCAACGTTAAACCATATTTTGAATATTATTATTCAGGTAGTTTAGAGAAGAAGAATTAATGGATTTAATTTGTTAGAATTAGAGAGTTTGAAACAAAATAAAGAAAAGAAAAATAGTAGATTTTGAACATTCAATCCCTTAAAACTTTTGTTTTAAAATGGGTATTCTAAACTTTAATTTTGTCCACAGGGCGGTGGCCCAGAATAACTTTAATATTTTTAATATTAATATAAAAATATTTATTACTTTATATTTTATTGACAGAAAACATAAAATAAAAATATTGAATTTTTGGCTTCCTTCACTTAAAGCTTTACATTCCTCTTCATTTTCAATGATTGAGTGGGGGTGGGTGATGACCATCATCCATTTCTTAATCATAACTAAGAATATATAGATTCCAATGGAGAAAATTGTGTTTAAATGCTTCTGAATCTTTTTAACCATTTAATATCATGAAAACTTGTATATGCTAGTTTTTAATCCAATGCTATAAATATTAAAATAATAAACTAATTTCCAACAATAAATTTTAGATCCATCTATTAAAATTGGGTTAAAAAAATATTATAATAAATTAATTTAATATATGTTCTATAAAAAAAATTAAAATTTATATAATAATATTTAATAATTTTAAATTAACAATCATATCTTTATTTTATAATAAATTAATAATTTTTTAATAATAATACTAACTTAGTGATTACGATAATTCGAGTCTTCTAATATAATTAACCATAATTGTAAATAATAATAATAATAATCCTAATTTAATAATTTAAGCATATCATTAAAATTATTAATAGTTCAAGTGTTAATTTTTAATACTAATAATTATTATCAATAACTTCTATTTCGGTATACAGTTGAAAAGTATTAATTATTAATATTTAATTAAATTTACGTAGTATTTAAACTGATGATAATTTTTTACTTTAGTGTTGATTATTTAAATATATCAATTTAATTATTTTTAAAATAATCAGAGCAGCACGAAAATATAAAATAATAATAATTTTTAATTAAATTATTAAACATAAGGATATTAATTAATTTTCTGGGACTAGAATACTAAGCCATTTTTGACAATTAGACGCTATTTTTACTATCAGGACGTTAATTATACACTAGAGAAAAAAATGGGTAGAAGTTTTCCTTAACGAAAAGCGTGGAAAAGCGAAGAATCCTTATTATGTCTTTTGTGAATTTTGCAAAAATAAAAAATAATAAAAACGTGTTTTTTATTTTTTTCGCTCGCATGTGAAAATGACTTAATTATGTCTATGACATAATTTTTAAAATATAATTTATTATATTATTAAAAATTATATTTATTTTATTTTTTACACATTTTTATCGTCTATCAACTAATTCAAATAATCTTATTTTTCAATTGTTCTTTTTTGTCTGTTCTTTTATTTTATCAATGGAACGTGATTAGTTAATAATGAAGTCACGGTTGAAACTGGTAGCCAACTTGGCAGTCACCAAACAAGGCAGAGTGGATAATTAAAAAGGCAGAGGGTAGAATGGTAATTTCATGGATAGCGCTGAGATTGCTACAAATTGAGCACTGTCTGTCTGACGCTGTCACTGTCAACCTTCGGCGCCTCCAATAGTTTGTCATTTTTCTCAATTTCCCGTTTTGCCCTCAACATTTCCGTTATTCCACCCTGTTAGAACGATCGATATTGGTGACCCTGGTTGGGTTTGAATAGGTATCCAAAGAGGAAGAACAGCAGAGAACAATCTTTGGATGCTTTCTCTCTCTCACACTCTCTTCCTCGTAACCTCCCTTTCCGTGTTATTCCTTCTGAGTCCGGAAGCTAAGGACTCTTTTTAATAAAAAAATCTTTTTTTCACTGAACTCATTTTGGTCTGTGATTTACAATCTCTGATCGTAGTGAAAACCCAATTGCTGGGTTATTAGTCTCAGCTTGTTTGGTTGCTATTTTGGACAAAACGATGAACGCTTCAACAAGGTTGGATTCAGCTGTTTTTCAGCTCACACCCACTAGAACAAGGTAATGGAAAATACTTTTTAGCCTTTATATAATCCATGTGAAAGGTCATTGAAAACGTGTACATTTTGTTTATAGCCTGACTTGTGTTGTGTGTTTGTTTGATTCTTCTATAAATCAGGTTTGTCTTGGTTATTACTGTGAATGGAAAGAAGGAGAAGATTGCCTCAGGCTTGCTCAACCCATTTCTTTCCCACTTGAAGGCTGCTCAGAATCAGATGGACAAGGGTGGTTATTCAATTGTTCTTGAGCCGCCTGAAGATAACAGTGATAAATCGTGGTTTACCAAGGGAACTGTTCAAAGGTTTGACTTTTCAGTTTTTTGGTTTATTATTGGGTTCAGAAGAGATTGAAAGTTGAATCCTGTTAAACACGCTTCTAGAGATTATCATTGGTATTATTATACTGTATCCAGTGCTTAAAATGGTTCCATACTACCATTTTGAAAGTCAATTCACACTTCTAGTTGCTGTGATATTAAGATCAAAATTATTGTATTTTAGTCATGTATCGAATCAAGGATCCGTTATTATTATTGTTTCCTTTTATTTAACGCATAACATCTGCCTAATAATTATATCTCATTGGATTTTCGTTTTTAGCTTGTACAGATTAGGAATTAATTATACTAAACTATAATTGGAGATGTACTGTATATAGAAGAGAAAACAATGAAAGAAGGCAAACCGCCAGAAGTTATTGACGTTGTACCTTTGCTTTACACTTTCCAAGTCAAAGGAATGTGCTGGGGAAATGGAAGTGAAACCATCTTTTGAAAATAAACATATGTATTATGACCTATTACTGTAAGGTTGGAGACTTAAAGTTACCCTTTTTGGACTAATTTTCTCTGCCTCTGTAGGTTTGTTCGTTTTGTGAGCACTCCTGAGATACTGGAACGTGTGTATAATATAGAATCAGAAATTTTACAAATTGAAGAGGCAATTGCAATTCAAGGAAATAGTTCTTTGGGGATTAGCACTGTATGTAAATATCTAGCACTACTCTATTTTATTCATTCCCTAGCACTTGAGAGTCTGTTTCAATAGTCGAGTACTTGTGCAGGTGGAAGAAAATCAAATGATACATGTTGAAACCACTGAAGGTATTTCTGAAAGAACAAGAACAACTATTACAAGTTGTCATTGTGTACATCTAACTTGTATCGAACAAACATAGGTGTATTTAAGGCCCTGTTAAGTTTTGTAGTTATTTACAGCTAATCAAACTTGCTGCTTTGCACAGGCAGGAAGACTCAGCAGGATAATAACGAGGAGAAAGCAATTGTACTTTACAAGGTTAGTACGTCTTTGATAATTAGTACCTATTCTGTCATACATATTCATATTTTCTTATCAGTCCGCATGGTGGTTACCTGCCAGCCTGATGCACAGCCTCCGCAAGCCAATGGAACCACCACGTCGGAGGGAAATTCAAAGTAAAGTCCTTCTGTCCTACATTTTTTCACCATTTTCTATGACCATATCTTAGTAGAAAATTGTATTGTTTAAGTTGTTTATGATTAAATAATGTCTGAAGTTCTATCAGTTAATTTTTCCTGGAATAGTGAAGAAAAAAAATGTTACAACATGGAATACCATTGGAGTAACTTCAAAAAAATCAATTAAAATCTGATAAAGTTACTTTTAGTTTGAGCATCCCTGTTAAGGCTAAGACAATTTTATGTTGAATCTTATGTAACCTTGACCATAAGTTTATAGTTGATATTTATCCCGTGAGGATTATTGGCTATCCATCAGTATTGAAAGCAGCATGTTGGAAAGCTATGCATTTTATAGTTTTGTTTATGATTATTGAACAAATATTAAAAAGGAGATGCTTTTTAGTGCATCTACAATAGCGTAAGCTTTTGGAACAACTGTTTCTGCATTGCTATAAATTTTTAATCAATGCTCTGTTGAATTGAGCTGTGTGTATATAAGTATGATACATGAGTTTATTTACATATTTCTTTGCACTATGTGAAGAATATTGTTAACTCATTCACTTCTACATGTTGTATTAGAGTTCATCTTCTGAAAGTCCTAGAGACACGAAAGTCAGCACTGCAGAAAGAGCAAGGCATGGCATTTGCTCGTGCTGTTGCTGCTGGTTTTGATGTGGACTATATACCACCTTTGATGTCATTTGGTGAATGCTTTGGAGCATCTCGTATTAAGTAAGAGAACTTATTTTTTTCATAGACCAATGACCTTAGATATTTGTGGTGAAGAGTTGGGTTCTTTATCATTGACCTGTAATGTACATATAGGCTGTGCAATGTTGCTTATGCTAACTTTAGTTATATGTCAGGGATGCATGCACAAAATTCAGGGATCTTTGGAGAAGAAAACATGAAACTGGACAATGGCTTGAAATTGAAGCTGCTGAAACAATGTCCAATCGCTCAGACTTCTCTGCATTAAATCTTTCTGGCATTGTACTTCCCAATACGGTCTCCGCATCTCATACTGAATTGAACTCTGAGAGTAATGGCAAAGCAAGTTCAGGTACAATTCCCTGCATATTGTGAACTTGTGAATTGTTCATGGCTTGTTGTATACATTTGTAAAATTCATTACTCTTTTTTACATGCCCATACATACACAGACATACACATTTGGACCAAACCGGCTACTAACAGTTTCCTTTTCATATAGAGGTCTGTTGGCTGAAATTGGTCTACCTGAATGGCTAATTTTGATAACCCGTTTTATTTTTTATCATGTTTTCTGATGTGGAAAAGCAAGGGCTTGGACCTTATAACATGGCACAGCTTGGCTTGGTCTGTTTCCATGCCTACTAGCTAGTAGCCCTTATGTCACACCCAAAAAATATCCTAATAGCCCTAGTTATGGATTGTGGATAAGTAATGCTTTGCTCATGTCAGTCTCATAATCAAATCTAAACCAAACTTATGATATACTTTACTCGTTAAGCATATGTGATCCTCTGCCTGTCCAGTTACCTGCTTGGGAACCCTGCAAAATGCTAGAATAAATGCCAATGATATTTCTCTGAAAGTTATGAGACAGATGAGATATAAATTTACAAAACTGAAAATTCTGCTCTTCCTGTATTTTATATTAGTTACCACTATATGCTCAATTTCTTTCTAATATAGTTAAATTGGTTTTCCTGCAGAATGGCTTTTGTTTTGGTGGTTATTTTTTCTTCACAAATTTGAATTACAGCATAAATAAAATGTAAATCTGCATGATATTTTTCTAGATGGGAAGAGAATTTCCTTTTTAGAAATATCGTGTATAGATTTGGTATCATAACCAATGCAATTTGTTGCCTTGATAAAAGTGAACTGCAATGCAGAATTAGTTTGGAAAGTTACCAGACAAGACTACATGTTCAAATTGACTTGTAAATCTCTTTTCTTGTAAGAAGATAATGGGTCGATTCCTAGACTGAGATTTTTAAATTGTGATCCGCTATCCATGTCTTGCTTTTTTCTTAATTAAAAATGTCTCAAGATCCTTGTTTACACATTTCTAGATGTGCCTCCAATGGACCGCCAACCATCTGTAGGCAACCAGGATAATATTCAAGGTCAATTTCCTCAGATGTTTCCTCCTTGGCCTGTTCATTCTTCCCCAGGTACTGTTCCAGTCTTTCAGCCATATGCAGTGCAAGGCATACCCTTCTATCAAGCATATCCGGGAAACAGTCCATTTATGCAGCCAAATTTTTCTCCCATGGAGGACCCCAGAATAATTGCTGGTCAAACTAATGGACGCAGAAGGCATTCCATGGATAGCAGACACAGCAATACTGAATCAGAAATGACGGATGAAGTGGATATAGAGAGGGATGGTGCACAGACTGGAGATCGACGGAAGAAGGATAGGCGATCAGGACAAAAATCTGGCAGGGTGGTGATTCGGAACATCAATTACATAACAAGGGTAGAAAATTCTTCTGGCAGTGTATCATACTCAGATTCTGGCTCAGAAACCAATGAAGATAATAAGGAATCTGTGAAGACCTCAAAGAGAAGGGACTCCAGAAAAGAATCTTTGAAGAAATTGGATTCGTCTGATACGGAAGAAACAGAGCATGGGAAGGATGCAGATGGAAGCCACTGGCAAGCATTCCAAAATTGTTTACTAAGAGATGTTGATGAAGATAGGCATGGCATTGACCAAGACCAATTTGATTTGGAAAAGGTGAATGACATGAGAAGAAAAAAACACATTGATGTCAATGATCCTTTAGTTTTTACTGAACGGGAAATGCATCAAGGTCAAGGAAGTTCTTCTACTGATATGCATAGCATTAGCAGAGGATTGCCTCACATACCTAAGAAATCCAATGATGATTTATTGTTATCTGCAAGGAAAGGACAGTCCGGTGATGGTTGGTCTGGAGATGATGTACAATCTTTAGAAGCAAATGGGAAAAGGATTGCTTACAGGAGGGCTGCCGGTGATGATTTCATTGTTTCCAAACAAGAACGTGAACTCAGCAATGCTTACCATTCCTCAGATATGGAAACTTCACTAGGTTATTCAAGCAATAAACAAGAGAGAAAGTTGTTTCATGATATGAATGATGATTCCTATATATTGGATCATAGATCAATCGAAGTCAATGATGCTGGAAATGTTGAGAGACATGCTATTGATGTGGATTCTGAGATCCCAATTGTGCGGCAAAATGAAGAAAAGTCATCTGATGAGATAAACCACACTAGTTATGAGCCAGATGAATTAAGTATGCTGCCAGAACGAGGAGCTGAAAGGGGATCAATGAGTTATGACCCTGCTTTTGACTATGAAATGCAGGCCCAGGCTGGTGGTACTTTGCAAAATAAAAACAAAGAAGTAGTGGCTGACACCAAACCAGGATCTAAGAAGTTGGATAAGGAGCCAAAATCAAAAGTTACCCCAAACAATGCTGATAGAAGGAAGAGTGGTGGACCGATTAGGAGAGGGAAGACTTCTAAACTTAATCCTTTGGATGAAGCACGAGCACGTGCTGAGAGCTTAAGGAACTACAAAGCTGATCTCCAGAAAATGAAGAAAGAGAAGGTACTCACTTCTATCCCATAGTTCCCAGCCTTCCCTTTTTTGTGTGTCTATTTAATACAATTAGCATAAAATGGATGTGAAACATTTAATCAAGATCAGCAACATTATATAAGAGCCATTAATCTGAGTGACATATCTAGTGAGGCTGAGAGCATAAGATGTGATAAGGGTAAATCTTACTCATACAACAAATGTACTTGAATGGTTAAGATTGTTTTAATTAGTTTTACTTAATTAGTTTTACTCTTAACCATTCTTTTTAAATATATTATTTTGCTCGTCTCATGCTCTCATTTCACACCTAATATGTCTCCCGTTTATTTGTTATTCAACATTGGTTATTTTTTTAATTTGTAATAATTAGGAAGAAGAAGAGATAAAACGCCTAGAAGCCTTAAAGATGGAGAGGCAAAAGAGGATTGCTGCCAAGAGTAGCTCAAGCACTACACGATTGTCATCACAGCAAACCAAGAAACAGGTTCCAACAAAACTTTCACCAAGCTCTCGGAAAGGGTCCAAATTTAGTGATTCAGAGCCAGGAGCATCCTCGCCCCTTCAAAGATTCCCAGTCAGAACTGCATCTGTTGGATCTAATGATTCTTTGATAGCCTCAAAATCCGGCAGATTGATTTCTAGAAGCCACTTGGATAATAACAAATTAAGCCGATCAGTGTCTTCATTGCCGGAATCTAAGCTAGAGAAGGACGATAGTACAACTGATACTAAGGCATCAATGGCAAGGACTAGAAGATTGTCGGAACCAAAAGTGAGTACCATTCGTCAGACTTCCTCAGTTAAACCGCACAGCACTGGAACGATATCACATGCTAAAGCAGCTGATGGACCTGAGAGCAAAAAGATTTCTGCTATTGTGAGTCACGATAAAAGCAAGACAGCGGCCCTTCCAGAACTGAAAATCAGAACAGCTAAAGCTAGTGACATTCATCAAAACAGAACATCTGGCAAAGACAAGATGCATAAGTTGAATGATAGCAAGTCTTTTACGAATTCACAAGGTACCATGTCAAAAAAAAAAGAAATTGGTACTTCATCCAATGATGGAGATGACAATCATGTAGTTGAGAAGACTGTTGTGATGCACGAGTGCGAGATACCTTATGCCCCTGCTATTCATAATTCAGATGAAAATTTTGAGATACCAGAGAAACAATATGATAATGATGAAGTAACTGAGAAAACAGAGACTGCATCTGATTATGCTGCTATTCGCGCTCCTGTTTCACCACTAAGAATGGATATAATAGATAAAGAAACCTCAGAGAGCCAACCACACCTGCAATCCATATCTACTGAGGTATGTTCGTAACTTGTAGGCTTTGGAGATGGTTAGCTGCCTCTGTTAGTTCATACACTTAAAAAAGTGCATAAAAAAAATTTAGTATAATGAGCATAGGAGTTGTTCTGCGGTTGACAGAACATCCTCTTTCAAAAAATTACAGTAAATATGGCCAATGCAATAACCTCTTACTGCCATCTATATTCCTCCAATGTCAGGAGACTTGAAAACTGCAACCAGTATGTTATGTTTCCTATAAGCGATGCTTTTACACAGCCGAGGATGTACTTACAATTCTATGTGCTTGTTGCAAAATGTGGAAATAACTTTAAAATACCAAAATTTTGTCCACAATGTTGTGTGGATGGCTGAGGGCACAAGGCTTCCACCATCGTTGGTTCCAGGAAGAGTGGTTTGTGCAACCTTACACTCACCTGTAGAGCATTTGCTAATATTTCCACTCATGCAACTCAGGTCCCATCATGATCAAGCATCCTTCCCTTTCATCAAGATTCATCATTTGGTCCTACCATGTACTTCTCGTGTTAAAAATTTTCGTTTTTCCTCGCATTCTAATTTATAAAATTTCTGGAAAACAAGTCTCAATTCTATGATTAGAAATTTGCTGATAATAGATTGTTAAATTTCAACAATTAAGTGTTATTTTAAACTGTAACTGTATACGAGCAAGAAAATTTAATTATATTATAGACATCTTCATTTTTTATTTTTTTAAAATTTTCAATTTATGGGATACCTTCTTGGTTCATAAGCTAATTTTGAACATATCAAAATAGGTCAAAATGGATAATACAGAGAAAGAACCTTCAAAATCATCGAGTCTTTATATTTCTGGGGAAACATATGATGCCCCATATGCTCGAGTTTCTTCTATGGAGGATCCTAGTACTAGAAATAGTGAGTATGGTAAAGCAGCCCCCACAAGTTTAGAGACTGCAGCAATTGGTGTGGAGACCGTAAAAGCACATGTATCTAACATCGGGAACTCAACACTTGAGAAGATTCCTGAAGCAATTGAGAAGCCTCAGGTAAAGGAGTCATCATCATCCAAAGGATTTAGACGACTGCTAAAGTTTGGAAAAAAGAGTCATAGCTCAGCTACTGAACGCAGCATGGAATCAGATACTGTCAGCATGGATGGTTCTGAGGCAGATGAGATTGGAAATAATGGTTCGTCTAATGAAGGTAATTTGCTCATCGTATACTCTCTTTTTCCTTTATTAGCCATTTAAAGGATATACATAAAAAAATGTGTTCTATGATATTTTTTAACAGAACTAAGCTATGGTTTCGAAGATTCATTCAAGATTATGTCATTGCTGTAACATCTCTTAAAATTATTTTACTCTTTGACCAGTTTAATTATTTAAGTTTCCTCGGACTCTGCATAACGATCTTCTGTCAACTGGATCCTAACGTTCAGGAATGACGTTGGTTTCACTAGAACTTCGAAGTGTGTACTTTAGAGTTCATACAGTTAAATGAACATGTATAACTGTAATTAAAAGATGTCAATAGCCCACACCATTCAATGATTTACTTGTAACTTATGACAACTGAGACTGATTTTGGAAAAGTGTATTTTGCCATACTATGTCACCCGTGCTTTAGAACAGCTAGTCTTGTTGGATTTTTCATTTACACTTTGTTCATTTTTAGAATTGCCTTTAATGTAACAAGTGTCTGAAGAAGTTCACCAAATTCAACTTTATTTGACATAATGTACTTAAACTGAACACCATATTCCATTTCATCTTCAGTTCATACTTTAAAGAACTTGATCTCTCAAGATGAAACTCCCACTGCCAGCACAACTCAACAGAAGTGTAAGCACTCACTGCATACTAAATAATCTTAAGTGGACTTGAATCTACTCATTCATTTATCCGTGTACCCTCTTTTCTACATAAATCATATACATTCTTTTCTGACTATGCACTTCGCAAACATATTGTTGTGCAGCTTCTCGTTCGTTTTCATTGTTATCCCCATTTCGAAGCAAGAACAGTGAAAAAAAGATAATGATGGCTTGATAGAGTGGGTGCTGTTAGAAAGATTAATGCAGTGACAAGCTAGAAGATCCTTTACTTGATTCTTTTCATTGTTTCCAAGTGTCATGAGTTATTGCCCAGCCAGAAAAGAAGACACAGTAATGTGTTGCAATGAAATTGGTTTTTGTATATTTGTGTTTCGCTGTGCATATATGCTCATGTAATTTGTATATTTTGCTCATACCAATCTGATTTCATTTCCATTATATACCTCTGGATTAAGGAGGATGTTTTCCCTTCTGAATTATATATCCAACAAAACTTTAGCAATGTGTTTTATATCTTACATGATTGTGATTTTTTATTAATTTGAACTAAATGCGTTGTAGTGTGCTGAAAAAAAGATATCAGATGATTGTGTTCTCCTGTAAGAAAACGTATTCCACTTTTTTTAATTACTCACAACATTGAGTTTTCTTGTTGTAACTTTGGTGATGTCACCAATTGTTTCTATTTGATTCGAATCCATACTATTTGGTTGCAATCTTTTTAAGAAGTTGAAGCTTGATTAGTTATTATTTTATAAACCGATTTTTATTTTTTAGTTTTTAAAAAATTTTATAACTTGTAAGATTATTATTTTATTAAAATATTTTTCATTTTGTGGTTTTTGTACTGTTTTCATTAATTTATTTATGTTTTTATTAATGACTATCGTAAGTTATAAAAATTATTTTCTAATTTTTTGTTGTTGTCAATATTTTGAAAATAATTTATAATTTTTTTAATTTTTTTATTTTTGAAAAAGATTAGTCTTTAAATCTATTTTAAAAATAATACTTTCCCATTGTTAAAAGCAATACAATACACAATTTACATGAACTAATTGCTTTTTAAAGTCTCTAAAAATTAGTAAATTATAAGCCATTAAATAATGAGAATTTCCTGAGGGTAAACTTAACTTGAAGCACGTCGTGATTCGTGGCTAACTCTTTTTTTGTTTTTTTTTTGTGTTTTTTTTTTTTTAATTATTGCGATAACACTTAAATAATAAAAGAATAGCGTTGGGACAGGCTAATTTGGGAACCTACTCACTCTATTTACTCAGGTTGAACATAACAACATAAGGCTAATTAGCTTGTTTTTCATTAATAGCCATATATTTTCAATAAAAGTCGATTTAAATAAGGGTGATGGTGTCATCAATTTTTCTGCTTCTTCAACAAATGTAAATGCTTACCCAGTTATCTTGGTCTTATTCCAGTTCTAGACAATAAAAAAGAGCGTGATTAAAATATAAGTAACAAATGTTTTTATTATTTACAAAAAAGTATTATTTTTTATTTTATAATCACTTAATAAACCTAAGCAATGGGGTGGGGAGAGAAAAGGTTTTGGTCTTGTATTCAAAATATTCCATGAGAACTGTTTTCTGTTCTAAAGATGAGACGTATAATATACCATGAGATGTCTGGTGAATATGACAATAATGCTGTATGTATGTATGTATGGATTTGGTATACAAAACTTTCAATACTTTTGTCGCTTTCTTCAATTAGGATTGCACTTGTTAAGGTGTCAGTCAAAGCGAATGATTAAGCATGAGATGTTGCTTTTGGTCATCCTAATTAAAGCTTCCTTTGCCAAACATTCAGCTGCTTCTTGTGGATCCTCTATGTGACTGATCAGATTCACAGCCTCTTGGTTTTTCATCACCTACACATTTATGCAGATTCACTAAGTACAGATTACTCTAATGTGACAATCTCACAAGGAGCATGGGCTCATATCTTAATATAAAGATTATGAAGTTAAGGTTTCATGTGGACCTCAGTTTCTACTGTAATATGTAATGCTTTATATTGAAGCTTACCTCCCATATGCCATTGCTTGCTAATATCAAAAATTCAGCGCAAGAATCAATCCTTTCACTTCTAACGAAAATATCGGAGCCTCTAGAATGTTTTGCACCTGCTGCATTTCCTGATTGGCATGCTAGCATGAGTCCTTTGTTAGAACACATTTGTAGTATACATTATGAGATGTGTGAACCAAAAACATGTTCCACTTACTGTAAACAAATACAAACTGTGATAACATACATCAGTTAAATGTCAATCTAACATAACATACCATATCATAAGCATAGTTTTGTTAGGTAAACATTAAATACATGCAGTTGAAAGGTAGTGGTTATATTGAATACATATAGTTGAGATGTAGTAGTTGTACTGAATGCATGTAGTTGAGAGGTCATGTCTAGAGACCTATAAATTGACCATGTACTTCATGCAAAAACACATGAAATGATAATATATAAAGTGTTTTATTTAGATACTTGTTTGTCAACAAATTGACATCAGAGCTTGAGAGCCTGAGTGTCTGAGTGCGTTAGAGAGTGTTTAAGAGTTAGAGAGTTTGTTCGAGATGGCCAACTTAGCTAACAACATGTCTCTACCAAAGTTATGGGCACCAAGAAGTATGAGATTGGTCGAAAATGGGTACCAAGAACTAGAGGATATTGAAGAGTAAACGATTGCCTAGCTTGCTGCGTTGAGAGCCACACGGGTAAAGGACAAAACGGCTTTGTACGTGTTGTACCGAGCTCTTGATGAGTCTGACTTTGAGAAGATAGCAAATACTAAATCTTCAAAAGAAGCATGAGATATTCTGGAGAAGACATATAAAGGGGATATTCGTGTGAAGCAAGTCACGCTTCAAACTCTCAGAGGCGAGCTTGAAAGCATGAGGATGAAAGATGTCGAAGGGGTTGTTGAGTACGTCCCCGTGTTCAGACTGTGGTGAATCAACTCGGAAGAAATGGAGAGACGTTACCCACTTGCCGAGTGGTGGAGAAAATCTTAAGGTCGTTAACCGAAGACTTTGAGAATATCGTTTGTGCAATAGAGGAGTCCAAGAACTTGTCGATGTTCCTGGTGGAGGAGCTTGCCAGGTCGCTTGAAGCACATGAGCAGCGAAGAAGGAAGAAGAAAGAGGAGTCCTTTGATCAAGCACTCTAAGCAAAGGTAACCTTAAAGGAGAAGAAGGTTCTTTATGCTCAGAACACTCAAGGCCAAGGTGGTAGAGGCAGAGGAGGATATGAAAGAGGTAAGGAGCAAGTCGGTCAACAAAACTGGCATAATCGAGGACAAGGTAGAGGTCGTAGCAGTAGAGGCCGAGATGGTCAGTCAAGCAATTCCAGAGTTGAGTGCTTCAAACGTGGGAAGTACGATCATTTTGCTAAAGACTGCTATTCTAGTATCAAATGTTATAATTGTAGGAAGGTCATTCATTTTGCGAAGGACTGCTGATCTAAGAGCAAGAAGGAAACAAACCTCCTCTCTGAGGACGCTGAGGAAGAAGGAATATTAATGATGTCGAGAAGTTCGAGTGTCGAGCTAAGTCCGAGCTTTGCTGACAACTCAATTTGGTATATTGATACAGGAGCAAGTAACCACATGTGCAGGGACGAGAACCTTTTTAAGGAGCTCACTAAAGTTGAGGTCGGACACGTTATTGAGCAGAAGTAAAATTTTTTTTTATTGTTCCCAATAATAAGTGATTTTAGGATAATCAGTATGATAGTGAAAATGAAATTAATGAGGAGAATTAGGAATTAACTGAATTAGAGAAGCTAGCTGAAACCCAGGAGAGTAGTGTACCACAAATAGTTCAATTGAGTATCAACACTTTATGATGATAAATGTTATTGATTGATTCTTTGATGTGATTGCATGTTAGCAAAACTTGAAAATGATAAAGACAATTGTTTATTTGTTGAAAGTAGAAATAACCTAGAGCAAAATAGTCAACCTTGCATTGATTAGAAGAAACTCTTTTGAGCCGTATTTGAGCCAAAAACAAGGTTGTTTCTTGAAACAGAATCCCTGAACCTAAATAATGTTTATCCACCTTCTTATATTTGAGAAATGAAATAATTATGAATGTTATTATTATTCTTGAAAAAAAAAGAAAAAAAAAAGAGAGAGAAGGTTGAGTAGAGAAAAAGGGAAAGAAAAGTATAAATATTGTGACTGAGCTGAAATGATAAATGTAAAATGAGGAAAGAAAAAAGAACTTCAAAGTGTGAATGATAATTTATGAGATTTAGATTGTCAGCTAACTAGCAGTATGTTGGAACAAAAGCATGAAGTTGAGACTTGACTTGAGAAAATGTTAGACAAGAAGCATTCATATAATTTCAATTTCTCAAATACCTTTGTATATCATAGAAAAACCAAATGAATTCCTTGATAGCCTAACCTCATTACAAGCTGCAAAAGACCTTTTGATTTAAGTCTTGCTTAACAAATGTTGATTGTTTGAAGAAGATTATCAATGATGGATTATCTGAATGAAGTGATTAAATGAGATAAACACTTACCTGTGAGATTTAAAGATGATTATATATCATTTTATTTGAGAGATCATGTTTCTCTGAGGATAGTTGATGATTAATTGTTCTCTGATAGTTTATATAACTATAATGCACAACTATCTTATTTTCATTTGAAGTTGTGAACATCATATCTGGATGAAAAATTATTTTTGTGTTAAGTGTTCTGGAAGAGAAAGTGACAATAGGCAATGAATTTCTGTTTTGGAAGAATTAGTACTTTGCTTAGGGACAAGTAAGATTCTAGGTTGGGGGAAGTTGTTAAGTGGTAAAAGTTGATGTAATTATGCTCTTAATTGTTATGTAACCACTTCAATTATATTGATTTTAATCTATTTTTCTCCCAATGTAGAATAAATTGGTAGAATACCTTGATACAAGAGTAAAAATCATAATTGTGAAGATAATTTAAGAAAAATTGAAAAAAGGAAGAAGATTTTCAACTAAAAATTCGCTCGAGCGTCATCTATGCTCGCTTGAACAAAAATACGTTAAAGCTCTCTGGATTTCACTCGCTCAAGCGCCATCAATTCTCGCTTGAGCGAAAATACGTTAAATCTCTCTAGAGTTCACTCGCTCAAGCGCCATCCATTCTCGTTTGAGCAAAAATACGACAAAGCTCTCGGATTTCTACTCGCTCGAACGAACATTACTCGCTTGAGCGAAATTTGCTGTTTTTCACTCAAGCGAGTAATTGGTCGCTTGAGTGAATGATGCGCGGCCCAAATTTTTCTATAAATAGATAAGACGCATTTTGAGATGGAAATTTTTAGGTTTTTGGAGAATAGGCGCGGTTGTTGTTCTGTTCTTCAGAGATTCTTCAATTCTTCCTCATTTAGAGCATTGTAATGGCCACAATGAGTGACTAACTTCATTTTCTTAGGATTGAGTGCACTTTCTTTGAAGTATTTTGTATCTTGGTGATATTTTGAGATATTAATCTATGTTCTTGAGGTTGTTACTCTTATCCTTTATGCCTTTGAACGTTTATTCTCGATGTTTGAGATATGATTGGAAAATATATCTTGAACCCTAGATCATGATAAGAATATTTGCTCGTTAATTATCAGGAATGGAATGAATGCATCAATTGCTTAACACCCTAAACCTAATGTTGGAAAATCTCTTAATTGTGTGAGGAATCAACATTTACTAGGTTTTCTTATGAATTTCATGTGTGAGGAATCAACGTGAATGATTTGAGTAGGTGACATCAACATTGATAGGTTAATTGATATTCTTAATTTGACCTAACCATTATACAAAAGAGGAAAAATGAAGTAAGTCAATCTTAAGTTCTTTTATTTGATAATTTTTAAACGCACTTTACAATTCTTTTCCATTTATTTTCATCCTTAATCTTTATCCATTTTACGTTAATCCACTTAGTAAGCACATGATTTGGAATTTTTAATGAAACCATTCATCGTGGGATCAACTTTTATTTAATCGAAATACTATACTGTGATTGATAATTTTGGTACACTTGTCAAATATTCAACACTCACCAAAAAGAGAAGATTTTCTGAAGAAGAGACAATAGAACTTGAAGCAGGGTGCAGTGCAATTTTTCAAAAATCCTTGCCAAAAAAATTCAAAGATCCTAGCAGTTTTACTATCCCTGTTATCATTGGTGCATTACCGGTGGGAAAAACATTACTTGATTTAGAGGTCAGCATAAACCTAATGTCATTATCTATGCTAAAAAAAATAGGAGACTTGGATGTTAGACCAACTAGAATGACTTTGCAACTGGCTGACCGATCAATAAAGATTCATTATGGAGTAACAAATGTTTTAGTTAGAGTGGACAAATTCATATTTCTTATTGATTTTGTAATTATGGACATAAAGGATGATGTAAAAGTCTCATTGATCCTAGGAAGACCATTTATGAAGACTGTCAGAGTGATTATAGATGTCGACAACGACAAGTTGAAAGTTAGAGTTGAAAATGATGAAGTTAATTTTAATCTGTTTGAAGTTGTATAACACCCGAAAGACAAGCAAGATTGCTTTAGAATAGATACTTTGGAGGAGTTACTCTTCTCAACTGAAAAACAAGTATACAAGTCAAACCCTTTAGAGAAAACATTGATGAAAGGATGCTACACTTTGGACATGGAAGAATAATTAGAAGTGAAGGAATGCTTAATGGATTTGGATAAAGCAAAAGAGATGTCAAGATTGAAGACTTGGAAAAAGAAGAGAAAATTGAAGAAAACAATGTTGAGTTAAAATTTTTGGCAACTCACCTTGATCACTCACCTGCATGAGCCTTAAAGCAGACAGACGTCGAGTTAATGACGTTAGCGCTCCTGGGAAGTAACCCAGTGTTTTAAATTTGTTATTCTTCTTGCATTTTAAGTTTTTGGTGATTTTTCAGTTAATTGTGAATTATATCAATTTTGAATTGGGTTTGTTTAAACAGTATTTGGTTTGGCTGTTAAGTTATTGTTGAGTCAATATAGAAGGGGAGAGGAAATAATTCTTGAAGTTTGGTTGTTGAAAGTTTTGCATTTAAGCATCATGTTTGAGAGTCAAATTTTATTGATATTTTTGCTCAGGCGAATGTTTACTCGCTCAAGTGAAAGTTTATTCGCTCAAGCGACAAACTACTCGCTTAA